AGAGTAAAAGAAGTTGCGGCGCAATGTGCAACCGGGGGAGCACTCAGAAGGAAGCAAATAGGACTAAGCCTAACGGAGAGGAACGAATTCCGTAGAGTATGAGAATTTTCGTGCACCTCAGAGTCCCTCTTCTCTCTCAAGGCTTAGTCCTGAAGTTCGGCGTTTCCATGAATTTAGCGCAATGTGGCTCCCCCTTCCCCGTGAGGCACATTGCGCCGAAGTTGCTTTTCGTGGTTCGAATCGTGGTGACTTCTTTGAATTGCAATGCTCCCTTATTGGCCGATGTCAGACTTTGCGATTGGAGCGATTTTGCACCAATTGCAGGAGCGACGGATCGCTTGAGCGATGCGAGCGACGGGAGATTTACCCGAGCGGCGCCGTGTGTATCGGTATTCGGCGGGGTAAATCTCCCGTCGCTCGCATCGCTCAAGCGATCCGTCGCTCCTGCAATTGGTGCAAAATCGCTCCAATCGCAAAGTCTGACATCGGCCATTGGATGAGAACGTAACAAGCATTCCACAGAATACTGTCTTTGCACTTTTTAGCAATTACAATGGTCAATACTCATTCTAAAAATTTCTCACACATTGTTTTTTCTCCTATAAACCTATCCTATTTGTTGTCAATCTTTGGCGCTTCTCATATAGCTCTTGACTGACAAATTAGGTGCATTCCGATTGGACTGCTTAGCCTTGATAGTGATTCCTTTGATCTTCCGCCTCTCATCATCGTTCTGTCACCGGCTACTGAGTTCGGTTTGGCCAGCGCAAACCTTCATCGTTTGTTTGCACATTCTCATTAGATACATAGATCTCTTTCTTCAACAAGAACGATCCGTCCGTTCTGTTAACAATCGTGCAAACTGCAAAGTTAGTCTACGAACTCTCTTCCAATTCCACATTGTGTTACATTTTCTTTGAACATGCTCAACTAAACTTTTATGTTTATTTACGAATTATTACAATCACGACTTTGATCGCGTCGTTTTTCCCCCTAGTGGAGTGCTACATTGTCCATTAAAGTTTAATTTTAGGGGTAATTAGTCGAAAGCTAACGCAAGAGATACTGTTTGGTCGCTTCGCTTGTACTGCTTGGTGCGCCTATCTGTAGGCGACTGCACATCCTGCAACCGAGTTCCGAGCTCATCGTCTTCGTTTCACCAAGGCAAGTTGAACTTTCTATATCTGTGAGGTTATATGTGACAGATTATAGTACAAAGCGGATGTGCAATTGTTTTATTGTTGTTGCTATGTTAAGAGTAGCTCGTGTGCTGCCCTTTTACGCTGTTATCAACTTCGGGCAGCCTTGTTAAATGCCTTTGCTCTCTCAAAGTCATTCGCGAAAATTTCGAGACAACTGTTACGAAAACGAAGTCGTTTCGTGTCAGGTGGTCATGTTGCTACTTTCCAAGTACCAGCTTTCTGAATCCTGTAGAAATCGAAAGTCTGCAGATTCAGAAATAGGTAGTAACGAGATGTGTTGTCTTCACTCCGGAAAAAACTTTTTTGTTTTGAAGCGTTTCCTGTCAACAACTGTGGTACGTGAATTATAGGAGTACATGGGGGGGAGAGAAGACGTAAACGGCAGGCGGCAGAGCGTGATAGGAACAACATTGCAGTGTTAAAGTAATAGGAGCTTGGGAAACAAGAGCCGTCGGGAAAATTATAGAAGCACCATTTCAGTGGGACAGTCAATGAATGTTTGAAAACGCCATGAAAGTTTCACAAGAATGCTGGGTTGTGAACAATAGCGCCAACAATTTCGCCGCTCCCCACTTTTTCCACGATTTGAGGCAAGTATAGGCGCGGCCGCGGCTTTGAGCACGGACGAGTCACAGATGTGGTCGTGAAGCGTTTTCAATTTACGCGCTTCGAGGCACTGGTGACTCGGTGCCGTTCTTTGCGCCAGTTTTCGGCCGGCCTCAATCGTGTAAGAAAGTGGGGGGAGGCTTGTGCCAGACGGTTAACCTCGAACCCCGCATCACCCGTGTACCGCGGCATTTCCATAAGCTACCCGGCAGGGTATTATTTGGATTCCAATTCAGCTTTTATGGCTATTCTTACCATAGTTGTCATTAACACAGAATGTATGTGTTGAGCGTGTTGCGAACATCATTCTCAGGAAGATAACTTAGGCGGACTCTTTGATGAAAGCTCCAGAATTGGATTCTAACTTCTCTTCATCAAAAACAGGTCAGAATGCAATGAAGGAATCATTTCACTCTGACAGTAGGCGAACATACTAAATGAGAAGTGGTTAAATGATCGAAGAGCTGGTGTAGTGATGGTGGCGTGATGATGATAAAGAGTGGAAAATTTCTCTATCCAGTTTCCAAAATAGCGTTCTCCATTATTTTGTAGCTATTGCGGGAATTTTTTCTGAAAATATACTAGAACATCCAGGAAAACATCGTTTTAATCAATTATGTGGGATATTATCACTCCTTGTGCGTAATGTTTAGATTTGTTTTCTGATGTATTAAGGTGAAGGAAATTCACTTTAAACTCCAATGTTTCGGCTTTCTGGATTTCTCCCGAATGCTCTGGAATCTTCCATGGGTGGTATAGTATAGTAGGAGTGGACCGTGCTACGTACGGTGATCAAATCAGCTTTCCCAATAATGGCGTTTGCATGGCACTAAATCAACTTTTCCCGCCAGACAGAACATCAGATGTGTGCATTCTGTAAGAACTCTGCCTAGAGAGATCTGCCCACAGAGGTGGTCAGGATCAGTCCCGGGATAGGCCTGGGCACGTTCTCTCACATGGCGGTTTCGGCTTGGTTTAAACGCTCCGCAGCGAAGACTTTGATCTTTCTGACGCAACACACGACTACTGCCCATTTTGACGTTTGACGGTATTTCCCACGGGTGATGATCTGTCTGGAGGATTGACGAGTACAAGGGCTTCACAATGCTAGCTGCTCGAAAAGATTGCAGAAGAGCTTCGCCGAATATAGCGACAAGTCAACCTGCTTCACGACAACGCGCAACGTCGCGGGTGTTCGGTCTCAAGCCACATGACTCTGAAGCCAGCAGGACCGCGGCTGCCCGTCTGCCATATTCGTCAAACCTATCTATACACCTCTTCAACCTTTCCTGCTCTTTGCTCATTACCTGGAGGGAGCTCGACGACGTAAACGAGCGCAAATCCGACACCAGAAGGTTGTTTGGCAAAAATCTTCCTAATTTCTAATTTCTGCTGCGGTGTCACCCAAATGCCCGAAGGTTGGCGTAGTGTTGTTGTATCTAATGGTCAATATGTTATGGATCATTGAATAAATAAAGAATAAAAAAAATAAATTCAAAAATTGAGCTACAAGTGTTAAGGATAACTTCCTTCCAATGTATGCTATACGAAGTTATTACGGGTGGGGAGAGAAGACGTAAACGGCAGGCGGCAGTGCGTGATAGGAACAACATTGCAATGTTAAGTATAGGGAGCTTGGGAAACAAGAGCCGTCGAGGAAAATTATAGAAGCACCATTTCAGTGGGACAGTCAATGAATGTTTGAAAACGCCATGAAAGTTTCACAAGAATGCTGGGTTGTGAACAATAGCGCCAACAATTTCGCCCCAGACGGGACTAACCCGCACCTCTCGCTTTCCGGGCAAGTGCGCTACCAGTTACGCTACCGGGGCACCATTTCATTCCAACTCAGCTTTTCATGGTATACTTACCATAGCTTTCAGCACTCACACGTCTAACGTGTTGAGCCGGTTAGCCGACATCACCAGTGAACCGCCAGGATGAAAGCTCCAGAATTGGATTCTAACTTCTCTTTCATCAAAAACAGGTCAGAATGCAATGAAGGAATCATTTCACTCTGACAGTAGGCGAACATACTAAATGAGAAGTGGTTAAATGATCGAAGAGCTGGTGTAGTGGTGGTGGCGTGATGATGATAAAGAGTGGAAAATTTCTATTGATTTCCAAAATAGCGTTCTCCATTATTTTGTAGCTATTGCGGGAATTTTCTCAAAATACCAGGAACCATCCCAGAAAACCACCATTTTAATACCGATATAGTGGGTATATCACTCACTGGCGTGTAGTTTTGTTTTCATGTAGGTTTATAGGTTTTTCTTTGTGTCTGTCAGCATGCCCTATTGGCGGTCATAGGAGAAAATGACCGCTTATGAAACTGGAAAAAAATTGTCATCTTTCTTCTACTAGTATGTAGTGTGATGTGCGATTGTGACTACGCTCTGCTAAACTATAAGAAAAAAGTTTTACAGTGGCAGCAACTTCACGAACTAGAATTGCGTACTGAAGTGTCAGAGCGCAGAGTAACCCAACGGCTGTCAGGGAAGGGAATAGGTAGATCCAGAAACTCCCGCCCACAGATATTTCGTTGAAATCAGTGACGTTATAAACTGTAAACAGGCGACCGAGGAGTCAAGGGAAGACCACTTGGCTTTTGTTAATGACGCCAGTGGTGACGCCAACTGACGTCGACCCGTCTTAGTTCGCATATCTTATGGTGAGACTCCTCTTTCCATTCTATAGACCACTTATTTGGTGTATAGGCTTCTGTTCGTCAGTGTGCTTGTCTGTCATCAGCGAATTCCCCACCACCCCACCCCTCCCTCTCTCCGTCGCCATCCTCACCTCCCCCATTGAATGTATCAGCGAAGTGTTGAGAGAAAGGACCGCTAACTGAAGTGGGAAACAGTTGGTTTCCCTTATCAAACTAATGTGATTGTTATACTCGCGGTTTAGCCGCAGAGCGTTCAAAATAATGTGATACAAGATAGATCCGTCGTGGCCATAATTGGTGGGTAGCTAGTGATGAGAACTCCCATGATGAGTTTAGGTGAGTCAATCGTTTAGTGTATAGGAAGGAGCTGTCCACCAAAGTGGCGGATCTCCCGTTATCTCGGCGCGGGCCTTTCCAAGACCGTTTCGCCCGCTTCAACTGTCCTCACTCCTAACATGCGGCGCCAGCGATTTCTCGCCCCCTGTGCTCTCTCGCTTGTCCTCTCTCCGTCGCACTTGTCTTAGCACGGCCCAATTACTGGAATGGGAAAACCCACAGTTCCAATATTTTCGACGATTCTTTTCCACGATCACTGTAGATCCGCGTTACAAGTGTGTTTTCGCTTAAACATGTATGAATCAAAGTAGTCTGATTGTGAGGGTGTCTTCAAGGGGTGTAGGGTTGGTTAGAATAATATTGAAAAGAAAAGTCAGGGGTGGGACAAGTGCTAAATCGTTTGAGTTTGCCACGACTATAAATGTTAATGAAGTTTAAAATAACTGATGGCACCTTGCGCACACCATTTTGCTCATTGTTGACAACTTGTGTTGTAGCCCCGCCATCACGAAAACCGTAGAGGGGTGTAAGCCACTTGACTGGAGGGGCGAAACTAGGTGGATTCCATGCTCAGTTGGAAAATTTTCGAAAAAAACAAGTAATTTTCTCTGTAATTTGTAATGTAGCGATTTTTCGATCAGCTGCGGCTTACAGGGATGTTATCAGTTGTTCGCTCTATTTCCGGTTCTTTCTTTATCATTTTTTCTTTTAAGTAGAGCGCGAGACGTCCTTATCAGTTATTGGTTCATGGGCGCGAAATCATATCAAATGGTAGTCTTTTCTATTCTCATTTCGTGGCTGATGGTTCCCTTCCATCCTCTGCTTATCGGTGCGAAACTCTGAGTGGGGACCTCTAATGCTTCATTCTAATCAACACTCGCGATCATCTTTCACTTTCGCTACTTGCCCTCTAGCACCAAAAGGTCATGGGGAACTAATAGTTTATATGCCAGAGACCTACCTGGATCCAATTGGTGTTTATTCCAGTCTTACCCCTCTCAGATTTAGACCAACATTGATCAGTGCTTAATCGGAGCCCCCAATACTGGAATTATTTCATATGCCAAATGTTTGGGATGTATCGAGTGTTCCTTTAGAAGAGGAACCAACTCCCTTTCCATCATCAGCGTTTGAAGCTATTGAAATGGTGTACGCGCTTTGTTGCCCCTACCTAGAGAACCCTTCAAGTGCAGATCAGGGTGATCTAAGTTTCAATGTATCAAAATGTCTTACCTTTAATTTGGCATTCCCTGTAGTATATTCATGGTTAGGATATTTGTTATTGATTCAGTACTACTGTGGCTGCTATTTAATAGCGATATTATTGCGAGGGTAACGGCTCTTTAGGGGTGTTGGCTTTTATAGCCTTCCTCAAGATTTTGAGAGTACGTATATTTTGTTCAGAGAACATTACAAATTAAATTTATCGCGGTACATTTTTAGGATCGCGCAAAATGGTAGAAGATCTTGCCGCGTTCCAATCGGCGCTTTTGCCGTGGCTCATCGTCGGTGCGGTCATCGCTTTCATTCTTGCGTTTGCCATCGGTGCAAACGATACAGCCAATTCTTTTGGTACCAGTGTGGGCAGCAAGGTGACTATTCTTCATCTATTTGCTAAGATTTCTCGTGACAGCCTTATTTTACTCAGGTCATCACTCTTACTCAAGCCTACATTCTTGCCAGTATTTTTGAAACACTTGGAGCATGTCTGCTGGGTAAGTGATGCTTTTTCCTTATATGCTGATAATAGCATTGTTGTCGCGTAAGGATATTGGCATATATTGTTTTGTAGGACACAAAGTGACGGATACGATGCGTAAGGGAGTGATTGATCTTGCCGTTTACAATAACAGTGAGCTCGAACTCATGTATGGACAAATTTCCATCCTGTCTGGTAAGAATGCACATTTGAAAAAAGTGACATAGGTCTTTCCCTCTAAAATTATTCGGTGGAAATTTTAGGTTGCGGTGCATGGATGTTGCTTGCCACTTTCTTCAAGCTTCCTGTGTCCACAACGCATTCTATCGTTGGTGCTACCATTGGATTCTCCATGGTGCTCAAAGGCGCTACGGGTATCCGCTGGCACAAGATCTCACGCATCTGTGAGTTTAACAGCAGTTCTGGAGCTGTGAGGGATAGAAAATGCTTTTGATACAGCACTTATCACTGAATGAGCAGCCTTATAAGTGCTTCTGAAAACTGTACTAGTGTTTTCTATGCTGTTTGCAAAAGCAATTTCTTTCAGTTGCGTCATGGATTGTCTCACCTCTCTTGTCCGGTTTTGTCTCAGTTATTTTCTTCGTGTTTATCGACCATTTTGTGCTTAGAAAGGTGAGTATTGTTTGATCATTCGAACTCCTGCGTTATATATATCGCTCATGAAGTAATGACGCGAAGTACCGATGACATATGCTGCCATTATACAAGGTATGAGGTCATACAGTGTTTTCTTAACGCACGATAAGATAGTGGTCCCGTAGGCGTCAATCGGCGCAGCCTTGAGCGCTGTTTTTCTGTCATTGAAATGTGACTGTGCCGTTAGATGATGAATGATTCAGTCGCCAGATGCTCTTTGTAAAAGGGGATTGATCGGTAATGAACGTTAATCAGTTCCATCGCTGACACCTTTTTGAAAGAGGTCAATAACATAAAAAGTGAAAGCTGGTCGTTATTCCTAGTTCTACTGTACGAAGACTGCGTGAGATGGTAGGCAACTTAAGCTGGAGCATTAAGCGCTGCAGATGGCGAGCAGGCGAGCGAGCATAGAGATGGTGGAGGTGAAGGACACCAACCTGCTCGCTAACTGTATTCTTTTCGATAAAATTCGTGTCCTGATGGACGTTCTCAACAAAAATCAACCCATAGCGCCCTATACGAGTCGATATTAGCTTTGCATTTGTGGACCTTTGACCTCAAGTCGGAGTGGGTTGCTCGGTTGATAATAATCTGGTTGCTAATCGTGGAGACAGTCTTGATTGCATTTGTTTATGCACAGAAAATGGTTAAGGCATATGTAGTCTCGAGGTCTAATTGTTCACAGAACTTTGTCACGGTAATAGGGCAACGATGGGCGGTCAGGATTTCGCTCTCTCAGATTGTTCAGCGTTTAAGTTTCCCTAACAGCGAGACAGACACAAGAATGAGCATTGAACTAATACATATATGGGAGGATATGACCTATAATACCACAGTTTCCTTTTTCGTTCTTTAATCCACAAATCTTTTAATGAAAGAAGTTAATAATTTTGCTTATGTATTCTATTAGCTTCTCGTTCTGAATTATTTGTCGGTAATGAAATGGATTTCCTAAGCAATTCAATCAATAGGTGATGAATATGGGTTAGAAATATAGAGTGGCTGCTTAGTCATCAAGTATACATCCCTTTTTGCTTCCACAAAGCCTACCCTAATTAATCCACCCTATCGTTCATGTGTTATAAAAACTGTCCCGGATGGTGATGAGTGCAAGGCATAAAACTTGTAGAAGATGTTTCTATGTTTCTTGTTAACCAGAAAACTTCTAAGAAATGACAATTTTAATTTCAGAGTCGTCCTCTTGATAGTGGCCTTAAGATTTTGCCGGTGTTGTATTTTGCTTGTATGACCTTCAATGTGTTCGCTATTATTTACGAAGGATCTGAATGTAAGTTTTTGATTTGCCAGAGGATAAGGTTGACTGAAAGACGTGTTTACGACCTCAAAATGTTTAAGCAGTTTTAGGAGCCAGTCAAGAGTCTAGAGCGCATTCTAAATATTAAGGTAGCCGTGTAAGAGAATGCATTTGACTGGCACAATTTCTATTAATTGTCAACAGTGCGGAAATAAAGTGATAAAAGAAATTGTTAACTACCTCTTAAAATTGTATCTGTTTGCAGTTTTGTACTTTGATCGACTGAACCTGAAGTATTGTCTCATCATCTCGTTTGGTGTCGGTGTTATTTCTGCTACTGTGGCAAAGTTTATTATAGCGCCATGGTTGAAACGAAGCATACTGGGTAATAATCAACACTCAACCTGCAAATTCCAATTGTATATCATTTTTTCCCATTGTAGCTCGTACTGATCTGGAGTCGAACAATACCAGTGAATTGAATGCAGTTGGAGGACAAAGTGAGAATTTGTTCTTGTCTGAAGTGAACCAAGACATCTTTCAAATTTTCAGAAGCGGCTCTTCTCGAATACGAAAGTGGAGGACCTCTTAAAGATAAGGACACAAAAACCAATGGCACATCTGGACATGGTTAGTGAATATTCTTTGTGATCAACTTTGTCAGCAGTGCTCCTTGATCTATCCTTACCTTTCGTGACTTATTTCAGAGGCCTAAATTTTTTCTTACGTTCTATTTAGCTTTAAATGCAGTTGCTCCGTCATCATCTGTCGCCTCCTTCTTTCGTTCATCGAAACCAGAAGATCCACAAGCAGCTCTTCTTTTCTCACTCCTTCAAGTAATGACAGCTTGTTTTGGAGGGTTCGCTCATGGTGGTAACGATGTCAGGTAAGTCGTTGAAATTCTTCAAAGTTACCGAACTACTACTAAATAATCACGAATGACTTCATACGAATGATATCTAGTAATGCCATTGCTCCACTCGTCAGCTTGTACGTCATCTATCAGGAAGGCTCATCGGCACAAACGTTGCATACACCAGGGTGAGTTTTCCATCCCCTTCAATATAAGCTCAATCTCTGTATAGTTGGATTCAGATATCTTTTACTCTATGGCTCGGTCGGCATGTGTATCGGTCTTTGGATGTTGGGCCACCGTGTTATTTATACAGTTGGTGAAAATCTCACGAAAATCACTCCTCCAAGGTTCGTTGGGTTCTACTTGTATGAAGGCTAATTTTGAGTATGAACGATACCAGTGATTTACATTTCCTTTTCGGTTTTAATGTGGTGTTTCATGCAATGTCCCAAAAATTTTGTTGATAAAAATTATTCCTTCTTTGTTCTAGTGGATTTGCAATCGAGTTTGGCGCAGCAGTGACTGTTCTCGTGGCCTCGAAACTGGGCCTTCCAATATCTTCAACACAATGCAAGGTGGGTATATAGTGTTTTATTTTGAGTTCGTGTTTAACTTGAGAATTTCTTCAGAATTTTGGCGACTTGAGAAAGAGAATTTTTTATATATCGAAGGCGGTGTTGTTTCCTTCGGTGTTTTTTTTAAATGTTCTTTCCAAAACTTACTGCGCTGGATTGGTTAGAAGACAAATGTTCGTAGCCACGTTCTTTAGTTTTGGTGATTTTTTCTTCGAAGGTATCAAATAGAATCACTTTTATCCACAACAGCGCTTTTTTCTACTTTAACTTAATTTGAGCCAGAATGGCCAGAATTCCTGACATATTGTAGGGACGCATGTATGGAGCACAAAACCATGTTTCGTTTTCGCTGAACGGTTTTAGTAGTATCAAAAAAGTGGTGAATGATACCCTTGATGGTTCGATCCCCCGCGGCGACTAAATTTTGCAATCAAGGTTGGCGGCCTTGTTGGCTTCAAAATGGTCCTGACGATGAATATGACATCTGATTTTGACATTTAGCGCGATTTGGCACCAACCCGTAGGCGCCAACCCAAATGCAAAATTTAGTCTCTACGGGGACCGGGGATTAGAGCAGTGCGTAAGGTCAACAACATGCCCATCGCTGTCAACGAGTTACGTGGTTGTATCTCTGTCGAAAGAGTTACTCTCGAATATCTTTGAGTGGTTATTCTTCTTGCCAACCGTCTGCAGACGGTCGGCAAAAACTAATCGTGCACGCAGTTGGCAAGAAGAATGGGGTGACTGAGTGCCACACCAGCCTTTAGAGATCACTTAAACAAAAGATCAATTGTGTTCTTCGAACAAGTGGTGCTTATCTTATATTGTCAGGGCTTCAAAATGATCGGAGCTGATTGCAATAGGGGACTGTTCAAATGTTTGAGTCTTGCAGGTTGGTTCCGTTGTGGCGGTTGGTCTGGCGCAAGCGAGTCACTCTGTCCGCTGGCACACTTTCCGTAACATCTCGCTCAGCTGGATTGTTACGTTGCCCGTCGCAGGTGAGTTAGAGCCTGTAATTTTTTCTTGAAAGTGAACGATTTTATGTTGCTTTAGGGTTGCTCTCTGCCGGTGTTATGAGTCTGTTCCGCGCATTTGTATTGTAGTAAATGTTTGATTCTTGCATACGAATGCATCTCCATTACTTCGGGAAGGCGGACGACCATATTTTGAAGTATATTAATTATTGCCGTCGAGTAGAAGTATTACACAGTTTGTATCTTTCGATAATGCTATTTCCTGAACGGTGATATGCTTAGAATTGTTCGTTTGATTGTGGATGCTTGTTCTTAGCTTTACCAATAACGATCGTCCTTTACGTTTTGACCACGCGCACTAGTGCTCAGAATGCGAAAAGATGTACTGCGAACTATGATATTGCTTGTAGGTTTTCTGCTTCGATAGCTTATCAAGTGGTCTTTGATTAGCATGATTAGCAAATATAGCACTGTCCTTTTCGTTGTCGCGATCTCCAGATGAATAACTTACTCCTTATTAATTCATCTTGGTTCAAATGACAACAAGGCACTTTCGTTAAGGCACCCATATCATAGCGGTGAATCCGCACAGGAGTTCTGCACTCCCACGTTGTTGTTTTTGATAACAGGTTTCTAATTTTATACAGTACAGGTCAAAACGTTGTTATGATTGTAGATCGTTATTGTTTCTCGTCAAGTTTTATACATCGAATTAATATTCCTTTTCCTCTGTTTTGATATCCGTTATCCACGTCAAGTAGAGCTATTCAAATTACACGTATGTATGCATCCATGAAATACTTGGCGTTTGAGGGATCACAAAATGTATGATAAAGAGTTATTCCCTGAGTTCACTACTGTTGAAAATAATGCACATGTACACAAAACATATAATTTTGGTTCAATACAAAGCTGTGGAAACTTGTTCTATCGATCTAGGAATATGTAAACCAAACACATGCAAGTACCAAGTTCATCCATAGTTTATTGGATGCCGTGAAAGCATCAACGGTGAAGTATACCCGTGAGAAAAAAATTACCCCGGCAAAATCTCAGCCTAAAAATATGTCTTGTGCCATTGCATCCACTTTGGCCAATGTGGGAAGCTATCTAACGCATTGGGACGCAGTCTCTCGTGGCTGAGTTCCAATGCGTTGAACTCAGCCACGAAAAGAATTTTGGAATTTTTCAGGGAGCTATTGATATCACTATTAAAGGAAGAGTAATTCACCTAGTTGAGGGACCCGCGGACCTCCTGAGGGTGCGGACTGACGCGCAATTGGCACCGAAAAAGTTGACCTCGGCGACCTATAAGGCTCAATCTTGGCGCGGTTGGCGGTGTACGCCCACCGATCATCTGCGAGTGATTAGATAGGTGAGAGAGCGTAGTGTTGAAGAGGGCACAGCGATGAGAGTCGCATCAATGCTCAAATCAACGGGCAAGGAAGGGGTCCCATTTCTCGGGTTCTGGGCCGTTTCTCATGGTTTTTCCTTCTTTCGTGTACCACTCATC